CCCTCCTAGTCGCCTGCGTGGCCTCCGCTCGTCTCATCGCCTGCCTTCTCTGAAGTGCTCTCCGGTCCCCAATTCATGCGCTCTGCCGCACGCAGACACACACGTACACATCGACCACTGGTCAGTCGTGATATGGTGCTTAAGTGGGCCTACTGTCGAGTGAGTCTAGATTCTCTTGTATCTGACTCAGCAGGTCCGGCCGCTTCTGGAAGCGTGTGTTGTCCGGCCCACTTGCCGTCTGTTTCGACGGCTTAGCAATCACAGTCTGGCGCCTGCATATAACACACGCAGACAGAGATACAGAGTAAGGACAAATCGCATACGGGCAATTTATATTGCCACCTCACCTTTTGAGGGCCTTCTTGCCGTCGTCGGTGTCCTTGCCGGCCAGATCCTCAGTCGACATCTGTCTGGACTGGCTGGTGAACCTCTCACGCTCGTTTTCGATGGACTTGAAAGCGGCGGTCGTCAGGCGCCTGCGGGCTTCTCGATGTGCATCCGCTTTGCGAAATCCTTCGAAGGCTCCGCCGCCGGCATCGACGCGGCTGGCGGCGGGCACTCCTTCACGGACCCGCTTCTTGTTGAGGTGTGCTTCGATTGCATCCCTGCACCCCTCAACGACCTTAACACGGACCTGCATTGCAGGGATGGACACAGGGATGGACAGAGCATCTCTCCCATTCCGGGGCGCCCGTGTGTGTGTCTGCAGTGCACCGTTTGCGGGTCGATGTTGAGCTGCTTGGCGACACTTGCCAGGTAGTCCAGAAACACCTTGTACGTCAGCCCGCCAGCGCCCCGGTCTCTGTGGTAATCGAACAGCCGCAGCAGATCGCTCTTGTCGCACCATCGGCTATCATACAGACCCGAATCTCGCACCTGCAACGCACAAGAGAGAGAGAGAGCGGGCGACAAGCCATATCCCACGCACAAGACCCCCTCACCATCTTCAACAGCCCTGCAAAATGGATGAGCGAATCAGCCTCTGCGTGCCCGTCATACGCCAAACGCAGCCTCTTGTCGACCACCGCTTCACTCAGGGGGGCTGGCGCTTCTCTGGCGGCCGACTCAGGCCGGGGAGGGCCAGGGCCCGTCGGGGCACTGGCTGGGGCGCTGACCGGCGGGGTGGGCCTGGTAGTGTGCGCACGAGCCCTGTCAAAGTCATCAAGCACCGTGTCGATGGAGTGGATGAACCGTTCTATGAGGCTCGGATCGTCGCTGAAGTGATTTCTCAACGTGTTCACGACATCACTGGCCACAGACCACAAGGCAGGGGAATCCAATGAGGCATGCCCATGCCCTTCATCGTCTCCAGGACCTGCCTGCTTCTCCTGCCTCTCCCCCACCTCACTTGGCGATGGCGACTGAGGTCACTTTTGGCGGCAGACCGCCGTTGCTTGGGTCGACTTTGCCGCTTGAGAAGTCTTCAGGACGCTCCAGAAAGGCTGAACACGAACAACGAGGAAGGGAATCATCAGGATGGCTTTCTGACTGACCGGCACTCTTGTCGACGTCCGTAACTCACTTTCAGATAGGGAGCGAAAGTCAAAGGGGGTAGAGTCCCGGCGATGGCCAGGGGTGCCGCTGGCCTTTTCTCCTCGGTCTTCCTCTGTCATCTTTCCTTCATCCAACCCAGAATTTGAAGCGCGCATCTCAACGGCGGCTAACGGTTTTTCCTGGACCGGCTGGCTGATTGTCCTCTGCCCGCAGCCCTCCGCAGCTTCCCAACTGTTTGCAGCCCTCCCCTCCCCTGCTGCAGACCCCACCCGCCCCCTTCAGGCAGACGACAGACAGACGGACAGCCCCAGCCCCGTTGTCGATGGTGACAACGCGACAGATGGAGTACCGGCGGGCGACGGACGTGACTGTCGGTGGTGTGCAGCTGGACCTGAAGAAGATTCAGCGGAGTGTGTCGTGCTGGGCCCTTGACCGCAAGTTCTGGATGAGGCACCAGAAGGAGGTCAAGGCGTGGGCGGCTTTCGTTGTCGTCCTGCTCGTCTGCTACAAATACTTCTCAGATGGAGGTAGGCACCGGGGTGTGCCGGGCGTGGGTGGGGCGGGTGGTCAGGACACACACGTGGGGTGGGGTGGGGTGAGGTTGGAGGGCACACTTGCGGCTCGTCCTCCGTGTTGGTTTGCTGGATGGCTGGGTGCAGGGTTCAGTGCGATTCTGACGCTGTCGTCGGCATTTCAGTGTTTCGCGTTTGTGCTCCTGGTGGTCAAGATTGTGACACAGGGCAACTGTGCGGGCATCAGCACACACTCCCTCGTCATGAACGGGGTGGCGCTACTCTCACGGCTGTGCTCCACACTCTTCTTCAACGGCTACCTGCCCGTCGACAAGTGCTCACACACACACACACACCCCACACGCGGACGCGGCAACGCACGTGTCCAATGTCTGTTTCGCTGGTTCAGGTCCGGCGACTGGGTGTACCAGGCGGCTGACGTTTTGTCCCTGGTACTGACGGTCCTCATCCACATCCTCATGAGGACTCGGTACAGGAGCACCTACCAGGCGCAGCACGACAAGTTCCCCTTCATCCTCCCCACACTCATCGCCGCGGGCCTGGCCTTCCTCGTACACCCCCGCCTCAACAACTGGCTCCCCGCCGACTTCGCATGGACATTCGGCCTCTACGTCGAGTCACTCGCCATGCTGCCACAACTCTTTATGATGGTACAAGCGGATGGATGGATAGATGGATGGATGGATGGTCCCCCACACACGCAGACGCAGACAGATCGGCCACATTGCTTCTGTGTGTCGGGTGGGGTGGGGTGTCCATCAGAGTAAGGCTGGTGGCGAGGTGGAGGCTCTGAACAGCCACTTTGTGGCGTCCGTTGCGGCGAGTCGGTTCCTGGCCTTCCTGTTCTGGGTGCACTCGTACACAGAACTGGGGCCCAGGAGGGGCAAGGGATTCAACTATGCCGGTAGGGATCCGTGCCAGCTTGATGATCGATGGCTACACGGCATCAGGTGTTGTGTGTGTTGGCCTTATAGGTTGGGGTGTATTGGTGGCGTTTGGGACCCAGCTGCTCGCTCTGGCGGACTTTCTGTACCACTACATCAACTCCATCCGGCTGGGCAGGGCGCTCATCATTCCGGAGATGGGCGTCTGAGTGAGCTAGACGACGCTGTGCATGGTGTCCATGGTGTTATCGTATCGTATCGTATTGCATGGTATTGTTGGTTCGGGGCCTGTCTGCCATATGCCATAATATGCACACACATGCGATGGGTGTACATGTTTGTATGTATTGGCTGCTCCGGTGTTGCTCTCTCTATCTCTTTCTCCTTCCTCTCTCTCTCCTGTCTCTCTCCTCTCTCTTTCTCTCCCACCCTCCCTCTCTCTGTGTCTGCACTGCCATGAAATGATTTAAACCGCCTGCCTGCCTGCCTCGGGTGCCTCCGTGTGTCTATGAAACTCTTTGCTCTCCCTCCCTTCCTCTGGCTGCTGGTTGCTGCTGCTGGTGAGCTAGTCACATAGACCTACGGCACCGTAGCGAGGGTAGGCACAGACTCTTTTGGCCTTCCTAGGATGGATGGATCGAGAGAAAAGGCAAGGCGGCAGGGGTTGACTTGACGATTGACGAGAACGATCGATATTTATCGGGGTGTGTGTCTGTGTGTGTGTGCGTGTGTATGTGTGTGTGTATACGTTAGGTGGAGCTGTCTGGTTTTGTGTGATGCAATGTGTGAGAGGTGGGTGTGTGGTGTGGAGCGTGGTGTGCAGTGTGGAGTGTGTAATTGCGTGTCTGCATGTCTCTCGCGGTGTACAGCCAGCTCAGCTGTACAGTGACAATCGACGTCGGCCGATCGATCCACATCGATATTCCCCGTGTACAAATGTGGGTGGGTGTTGTACATGTGTACTGTATATACATATAACACACAACATACAGACGCCTGTCCTTCTGCCTCCCTACCTGACCTGCCTATGCGCCTGCCTATACCCGCCTGCCTGCCTGCGTACGCTCTCGCCTTTCTGTCTGTTCTGTTTGTGACCGAGAGCTCGCCTGTCTGCCTGCCCGCCTGCCTGTCTGTCTGTCTGTCTCTGCGTACCTGCATGGCCGTACACACATACAGGTACACACACACACAAGTACGCTTCATTCATACCATTGGACAGGACAGCATACACAGGGATGGGTTCTGCGTGTGTGATGGATTGTTGCTCCGATGGAGGAAGGGAGGGTGGAGTGAGTGAGAGGCAGCCAGCGGAGCGGAGCGGGGCAAGACACACACGCATCGATCATATCGATGTGAAGGGCATCGTGTGCGCGCGTGTGTATGTCGATGTCTCTGCTGGCTTCCAACTCTCTCCGATCCCCAGCAGATCGATAATCGATGTAGGATGATGCTTACGGTAGCCGGATGCTGCAATAAATCGCGGCTGAGTGGCCGACTGACTGACTGACTGTCTGTCTGCATGGAAGAGAGAGGACGGTGAACGAGAGAGCGAGAGAGGTATGATCGACCAGAGAGAGAGGAAGTGTTTTTTTGCGGCATGGTAGTGCTGCCTGTGCCTTTGCCTGCCTGATTCATGGTTTGATGGTGAGATTGATGGACTGACTGACTGACTGATGTGCAGGAGTCCATGGGTCTGTCTGTCTGTCTCTGCGTGTCTCCTGTACGTGAGTGTGAGTGTGTGTGTCTGTGACCATGATGGTGTCGGATTATGCCAACAGGCACCTTCGTGTGTTAGTCTTCCTGACTCAAAGGTGATCCGCCATCCCCAAAAGGAGCCTCGCCCACGGGGTTAGGGTTGCTGAAACCCTGCAGTTTAACCCTGCACTTGACGCCTTTTCCCGATGAAGAGGAAATGACGGGCGCGTTGACGTGGTGACAGTATCAGCACAGCGCAGCGCAGCTGTGATCCGATTGACGCAGATGGGCGGCCGGCCTGAGAGCAGCGAGGATACAGTGAGCGACGGTGGTGACATTCCGATTGGCCACTCTCCCTCGCTGAGCAGTGACTTCTCGCCGCACGTGCGGGTCAACGTTTATGACCTGGACGACTTCACCGGCAGGATCAACCGCATGGTGCGCGTCTTCAACACAGGTCAGTCAAAGACCACAACAACAGATCAATCTGCTCTAGCTTGTATGCGTGCTGTTTGTATGTGTGTGTGGCTCTCTCTCCTCTCTCTGTCAGGCGTGTTTCATGCTGGTGTTGAGGTCTACGGGGTGGAGTGGTACGTGGGAATGAAAGAAATGAACACACACAGGGAAAGAACTGGGCAAGTGTTTTGTGTGTTGACCTGCAGGTCGTTCGGTCAGACTGGCGACGACAGCACTGGTGTGACGAGCAACGACCCGCAAGGCCACACCGGACACATATACAGAGAAAGCATCGACATGGGGTGAGTGAGTGAGACCGGCACACACCGACACAACCAGCCAACCACCCACCACCCACCACCGCTCATGAGTGCAGCGATACACGCCTCTCCCCTCGCCAAGTGCTCGACCTGATCGAGCAGCTCGAAATAGACTGGCCAGGTCAACAACACAACCCAACAAACATCCCTCTGTCTGTCTGTCTGTCTGCCTGCCTGCAGGTGACTCGTACAACATTCTGAAGCGCAACTGCATCACGTTCTGCGACCAGTTCTGCGAGCTGCTGGGAGTGGGTTCGCTGCCAGAGTGGCTCAAGAGCGCACAGACACAGGGCACACGACTCGGGGAGCGAGTAGATGCCGCCGTCGATCGCATCAAGGTGCGCCGCGCGACAGACGGAGAGAGACGGAGAGAGACGGAGAGAGACGGAGAGAGAGAAAGAGGGAGGGAGGGAGGGAAGAGGATACACGTGTACCTGTGTGCCTTTGTGTTTGTCGTCCGCTAGTGGATCGACTCGTCCTTGGGCATATCCAAGACGGTTCAGTCGATGGGACGGGCCATTAGCAACAAGAACGAGGTGAGGGAAGAGAATAAGACAAGGTGCGCGCCATGTTGATATGCGTGTGCGTGAATGAATGGTCAGGAGTATGGAGTGACCAGGAAGGTCGAAGAGGCCGCCAGAAAAGTAGGCAGGCACCTGAAGATCTTGGCCACACGAGAGACAGAAGACAATAGCAACTTCCTTGTCCTCTCCCTCCCTCCATTGAACAGGCAGGCAGTGCGATGTCCTCATCCCTCGACCGTCTGGCCGTCGCCGTCCAAGATGCGCTGGCGACCGCTTCTAAACCATCGTTGCCGTCATCACCTCGGCGTGTCTACCCGGACCAAGCTGCTGATGGCCCGCTGGAGCCCCCGCACGTCAGGGCGATGCGCGACAAGCTCACGGAAGGCACACATGGGGTGAGTGGGATGGGCGAATGCATTTGTGTACTGTATGTGCATTTGTGTGATTGTGTGTGTGTGGAAGCAGGTGGTGGAGTGGCGGCGGTCGGATGATCGGGAGGGTGTCGTGGCGCCGGCGGCGGTGAGCAGCTCCTACGAGAACGGCACACCCGTCCAGCCATCAGCCGCAGCAGGAGCGGGAGCGGGGGAGCAGAGGCCACAGGTGAGACAGACGTGTGTGTCAGGCAGGCACCACACAGTCAGGAGGGTGTGAGTGAGACTTAGCCATCCTTTGGCTCTGGGTGTCTGTCTGGGCGTGGGTGTGTGGTGTGTAGGGTGGGCTGTATCCACCTCTATCGGACGTTGTGGTCAGGCCAGCAAAGGCAAAGGTACGACGTCAGTCAGGGCATGTCAGTCACCGTGTGGGGGCGGCGGTTTGTTTGTATCCTCTCTCTCTGTTTTTTTCTGTGTGGTGGTTTGTCTGCGTGTGCAGCCTGGCGACGATAGTGAGGGCATCACGACCTGGAAATACGACGAGAGGACGTGATACACGGCATGCTTCTTTGTCTAGAGACGAAAGAATGTCTGTGTGTGTGTCGTGTGAGTATACAAACATCACAGCGGCATCGCATCCAGACGTGTGTGTAGATCAGACAGATGTGTGTATATCTGACTTTGCTGCTAGTTCCCCTTGCTGCTGTGGATGCACGTGTGTGTGTGTGTGGGTCTGAGTGGATGAGAACCTGACTGACTTACGTCGGCGGTCGGCCGCCAAAGGAAGGAGTGAGCCAGCCGTCGGTTGACTGACTGACTAAGTGACTGACTGACTAGTGCTGACATGACATCATGTGTGTCTGTCTGTGTATGTGTCTCTGTGTCTGTCTGGTGTCTATCCTATTATACATACTGACTCCTGCGTGCTGTCGTCTGATGTCATTGATCAAAGCAAGCAAGATATGCAGCTTGTATGAAGCTGCATATCTCGGGGTCTAGTGTTCGCAACTAAGTCGACTCCATCCATCCATCCATCCCATGTGGTGCCGACGACTACGCTACAGAGCACCAGCCATGCACCCACACACACACGCACGCGCTGCCTCGCAGACAGGCAGGCACAATCATCGGACAGTCAGTCAGGCCTCCCACATACTGTACTGCACATAGACAGAGGGGCAGTCGCTTGATTAGCGACTAGAAGCATATATCGCTCTATGGTGTAGGGCAGGGTAGGGTGGTCCGCCTCCTTTCCTATTAAGTACACGTACGCACACGGCCAGCCTGCCTGCCTGTGGCCCTATCTAGCAGCTAGCTATTTCTGAACCCTGCCGCACTTCTTGCAGCTCTTCTCCATCATGGCCAGGCAGCAGAGAATACCTGTTGCAATAACGCACACACACAAACACATGATGACAGAGGCCAGTTGTGTTGCGATGCATGAGTGGCTCCTACCGATGGGGAAGCAGAGGACAGCGAGAGTCAGTCCGCAGCACGTCGGCTGCACCTCTGTGAACTCGCAGACGCCTCCCCTTTCGCACCCCCCCGACAGCACCACCTGATGGACGACCGGGAGCTGCGGTTGCTGGACCACCGGCGGAGGCAGGGGAGATGGAGCCGACATCTCTCACTCGCTGCTCGGGACACTTGACGAGGAATCAAGGTGTGAGTGCAGCTAGATAAGGCGCAAGGGAACAACACAGGCTAGCCGGGGAGTAGCACAGAGCGACACACAGATGTACAGAGATGCAAAGAAGCGACAGATGAATGAATGGGTGAGGAACCAAGCAGTCGAGCGGTCTTATGCAAGACAAGATCTCTGCGAGCGGTCTTATGCAAGACAAGATCTCTGCGACAGAGAGAGGGAGGGCGGGAAGGGAGAGGAGAGAGAGGACAAGATGTGTGCGAATCGGGAATGGAGGAGAGGAGAGATGGGATCATGACACGAACTCCTCCGCCACTCAGATAAAACTGGTCTAAGCCGTAAGGCGTGTCCTTCACCGTCAGGCCTCCTACATTGTACACCCAAACGTTTACCTAGACCCTAAACCCTGCCCCTGATTCGATCCATTTGCATGCGCTCGAGATGCGCCCCACACGCGCGGCCGTGCATCAGGCTGGCGTCAGCAAGGTCACGGCAGCCCTCCAGCAGTGCAACCTCTTCGAGGTGGCCCACCTCCCACACTCACCCGTCTCCCTCGCCATCCAGCGCAAGGGCTCCTCGGCAGACCTGTGGACCCCTCTCGCCACACGATGCGCATCAGCCTTCCGGCCACAAACGCAGACCTGCTCATTCAGCGGCCTGAAGAGCTGCCACGGCGTCCCGGTCATCTGCGTCCTGCTTGACCCTTTTCTGACGTGGTTCTTCGATGGGACTCTGCTTGCCAGGATGCGGTCAGGCCGTCTCGAGGTGGTCAAGGGCGGCAAGTGGGACGCATGCAGCTATCGCTGCAGCGATGGGACGACCACCAAGCCGCTGTGGCTGCGGTGCTGGACAGCTCTGGAAGACCCCTCTTTTCTCAGGATGTCTTTCGACGAGCTGAGACGACGCCCACCGCCCCAGCAGACATGCACACGGCAGCCCCGAAACGGGCTCTCATCGGTGCTCTCGGCAGCGGGAATCCCTGTGACCTGCCCCTCATTCGGCCCCATGACATGGCGAGACGGAGACAAAACCGCTCCCATCCGGGTGGCGATGACAAAAGCCAGGCACAGTCGGGTGGAGTACAAGCGATATGGCCATTGGGTGGGGTGGACCACCGAAGACACACAGACAGGGGATGGCGTTGACCTGCTCGTGGTGGAAACCGGTGAGCATGTCTACGCCATTCCAACCATAGCGCTTCTCAATCACACAGGGGTGTCTAGAAAGGGTTTCCTCCTGTATCCCCCTGGCACACCGGTCGGCACCCGAGGGCCGAAGAGGGGCGAGATGTGGGCGGAGGAGTATCGCATCGATGTGGGGGAGAAAGAGCATGCCACGAGACAGCTGCGACGCATTTTTGAGATGGTTAAGTGGAGAGGGTGTGATGCGTGAGAGTGAGTGCATGTGAGACCAGATTCGGACGCGCGAGCGCAGCGCATGGACGGCATTGCACCGATGCAAGTGACTGCATTTACCATGTGAGACCTTGTCCAGGTTCGTTTGTTTGTTTGACACTTGCTCAGCCAACACCAACCAAGCAGAGAAAGAGTATTCCTTACCTCGCTCGCCTCGCCTGCCCCTGCCCCGCCCTCCCTGCGCCTTGTATACCTGTCTGCTATCCAACAGACCAGCAATCGACAACAAAAGGGTGCATCCACCGTATGCTACACGTCATACTACACAAACAGACGAACACCCTCCTCCCTCCCTTCCCCGGCAGATCAGGATAGTACTGACTCCAATGGATGGACCTCTCAAATCAGTCAATGAATAAGTCAAGCGGCCGGCCGGACGGACCCGGCCGACCAATCAATCAGGATGTCCGGCCCCCCCGCCCATCCCTCTCCTTCCTCTCCCCTCCTTGGCAAGGCCTGCCCTTGCTGGCCACGCCTGCCCTCCTCTCGTCTCTCCCTCTCGCCTCGTCAGCCGCCACCGAGCCCTCCCCATCAGCAGCAGACAACGATGCACTCGAGGCCGCCGAGATCCGCCTCTCAGAGGGAGGCGACTGAGGCTGCGGCGTCCTCTCCACTTCACTCCCAGATATCCTCCGCTTGGCCCCACGTGCGCGGGGCCGCAGTGTCCATCGTCGGGTCAGTCGGGCCACGGTCGAGGTGGACACCTCGCCCACATAGACGAGCCACCTGGTGGTCTGGTGGATGGCGAAGTGGATGAGCCCGAGCCCTGCCGGCAGGTATGGGCACTGCATGGGCACCAGGCGCCACTGCACGTCGGGCGTGCGGCGGCAGATGGGGCACACTGGTGGCTTGGCCTTGCCGACGCAGTCGTGGCAGAGGCACAGGTGCGCATGGGGGATGCAGTGGGTGCTGGCGAGCGCCACGGACTTTATCTCGCTGGAGCAGCCGATACCTGCGCGATGGACAGACAGACACCAGCCACAGCCACAGATACAGAGACGGAGGTGGCTGCAGAGGTGGCGAGGTGGCCTGGGGTGGGGGGGTGGTGGGTGGTGGTGGTCCTTACAGTCTTGTGGCTGTGGCAGCGGGTGTGTGATGAAGTGCATGGGCAAAGGCACCAGCTTGGACCACACGAGCAGGGCAAACACGTCGTTGAGGATGTCCGCCAGGCCCTGCAACAGCGTCAGGCTCACAATGAAGGGCGAGTACGGCTTGAACAGCCACAGGTCGCGGAACAGGAAAAAGCCCCGCTCGCCTGCAGACAGAGAGGGGAGAGAGGAGAGAGGCAGGTGTCGTGTATGTGTGTGTGTGTGTGTGTATGGTGGAGTGGATGGACTGTCCATCGCTCCCGCCTACCGATGAGCACATGTGAGACGATGTGGTAGAGCCAGATGAAAGAGCCGCCCCCCTCCACGTCGAATGACAGTCTGCGCACACACACACACACATACGGCAGGCAATCCATCATCCATCCATCCATCCATCCACTTATCCATTGTGGCCGGCCCGGCCCGACTCACTTGACGAGGCAGGCCCGTTTGCATAGCTCGAAGCCAATCAGGTTGCACACCACCCGGCCGCCCAGATAAAGGCACTTGAGCGTCGGGTCTGACGGCGAGACTCCCCGCCAGAAGTGGTCAACTGCCTTGACGTAACTGGCCGCAATCACGCAGTCCAGCAGACCCCCACCTGCACAGCAAAGGACCAACAACACAGCGATACCTACCGCGACGATCCGATCGCCGTGTGAGAATGCAATGCTGTTTGGCTGTCCCAGCCACCGACCGATGAACAGCGCCAGTCTGCTGAGCAGCAAGTTCTCGAACTTCCTCGACTCCAGCACCCTCCCCACCACCCCCCGCATACAGCCAGCCGCACCCTTGACATAACGCCACACACCGCCCCACCAGCCGGCGAGCTGCCTCCCGACGCCCACAACCCACACCGCTGCAGCGAGCAGCGCCAGAATCAGGATGACAGGCTTGAAATCGGGATGGGAACGCATTAGCCAGAGGGAGCCGATGCAGCAGGCGAGTGCGAGGCAGCCACAGAGCACTGTCCAGTACTGTCTGCTGATGAATAGTAATCGGGTTTTGGTGTCAGGAAGAGGGGGGCGGGCCGGGGGATGGGCCTGGTAATGGGGTTGGGAGGGGATGGGGCAGCGCCGTGGGCTGCCGGTGGGGGGTATAGCTGCAGTGTGCATCTCTACGCGAAGGGGGAGCCTCTGCATGGAATCAATGGGTTTGGACGAAAGCCGTCAACCTGGGATGGAAGGATGTGACAGAATAAGCCCTCAGGCGTCAGAAGGACCCCTCCGCCTTTCCCGCCTTTCTCTTTTGCGAGCTCAACCACCTTGGAGAGAGAATGGATCGCTTTCTCTCTTCCCGCGCCAAAATGAATAGAGGCTTGTGTGCGGCATGGTGATGGCCATGCTGTGCACAGCTGAGATCTGAGAATCATTTGTGACGTTACGGCTGCCACACCATATGCCGGCGCCTCTCAGACGAAAGCAGAACCCCTTCCACACCTTATGAGCCACTCCGCATCATAACTGTCGATGTAAATGACCAAGACGCCAGCAGCTCGGGAGAAAGTTGATGTTTGTCTGACTACTGTCTTGTGTGTGTGTGTGTGTGTGGTGTCCCACCAGGTCCGTTGCTGCCCTGCGTGGTTTCGTGGAGGCATTCTCTAGGGCCGACCTGGCCGCCCTCAGCGGGCAGAGCGGCTGGCTCTCGGAAACGGCCACTCTCTACCAATTCGACGGCTACGTGGCCACCGGCCAAGCCGCTCTCTCCCGCCTATACGCCAGGCTGCGGGACCGCGTCATCCACACCACCTGCCTGGGCCTGTGGCGGGTCGATGGCATTACGAGTTGCGCGCAGTGCGAGATAGAGGTGGACGGCAGGCCGCACTGCGTCTTCTACATTGCGACGATTGACCCGACAGATGGGCGCATCCAGCATCTCCAGGAGTATGGCGACGCGCCGTGTCGGCTGGCGGACCTGCCGGTAGACCAGGAGGGGGAGGGAGAGGGAGAGGGTGGTTGTGGTGGTGGGGGCGAGGGCGAGGCGTATGGGCGGGTGTTCATGTCGGCCCCACTGCCCGCTCACCCCTTTGACGAAACACGGGACGAGCCACCGGAGGGAGAGACGATGGAGAGAGGGAGCGACTCGGCAACAACACCCCACCACAAGAGGCCGAGGCAGACCCAGAGACTACTACTACCACCATCATTATCTGGGCGTCCACCCGCCCATTTTTCATCCTTCCTGCGGAGATCGGTCAGCCGCCTCCTCGACGGCTGGCGGCCCCCTCCCAAGCCACTCCCCCTGGCACCCACCATCCTGCCGTCGTTCTTCTCAATGTTGGAACGGGGCTATGTGCCGGGGCTGGCGTCGCTTTTCGCCGACGAGGCCATCATGGACGACCCTGTGGGCGTGGTGACCTTCGAGGGGGTGCAGGACATCGAGATGCACCTGCGGTATCTGGTGGACGAGTGGCAGGTCAAGGCCAAGCTCATCCGCACGGGATTCGTCAACGCGTCCACCGAGGGCTGCTTGGTGCGGCTGCAGTTCCTGTCGCGGCGGACCACGAGCAGCCCCCCACACCCTCCTGCATTCGCCCCCCCGACGGACGTCTACTCCTGGACAGACGAAGGCGATGGGGCTGATGCCATTGGGGGCGGTGTGCACACGGCCTACTTCGACCAGGCCAACGCTGAGAGCCCCTGGGACACGGGCGCGATCGCCATCGAGCTGTCGATGCCCACCTTCACCGTCCTGGCCTTTGTCATCGCCCACGTCGCCACGACCGTCGAGCGGCCCTTCGTCGAGCGCCTCAGCTTCTACTACGACCCCACCGTCTCCCAGCTCATTACAGCGTCGGAGGGCCACCCGTCCCTGGCCAAGGGCGACCATGCAGCTGGCCAGGGGGAGACCATGCCCTCCCTCCCCCTGCCCCTCCCTCTCCCCCTCCCCCACCTGCCCCCATCGGCCAGCAGCGTGCAGTGGCCACTCTTCTCTCTGGTCGATCGGTCCCTGCTGTCGATGCCCACGACGGCTGAGGGCAACTCACCCCCGCAGCGACACATGACGGTGCGGGACGGCATTGACGGGCCGCCGCCACTGCCGTCGGTGTCGGTGTCGCCTGGGTCGTCACACGGCGATAGGGAGAGGCCGTCGGACGCCGCCGCCGCCCCGACCGGTTCTTCGGCGAGGCAACGGGAGAAACAGAGGGGCAAGGTGAGAGAGATAATGGTGGAACAACAAGACCCGTGATAAAGGAGACTTGTGGGTGTGTTGTGTGTGTTGGTGATGCAGGTGTGTCTGGTGACTGGGGGCGCGTCTGGTGTGGGGCGAGCCGTTGCCTTGGCACTGCTGGCCGACGGCCATACTGTGGTCGTTGCAGGTAGGTACATCCCCAACACACACACACTCACACGCACACCTAGGGAGAGCGAGAGAAAGAGTTGGTGGAGTGAGTGGTAGCGAGACCCCTTCCCCACCCTGTGCTGTGCCTCTGCCCATCCGTCCATTGATCCAGACTCCTACACGGAAGCCGAGGAGCTGCAGCCCCAGCCGGCCCCGCCCCACGACCAGGGCCAGGGTCACTTCGACAGCGACGAGGCTCTGCAGCGGCTGCACCCCGAGCAGGTGGACGTGAGCGACCCCGCCCAGCTGCAGGAGGTGCTCGAGTGGACGCAGCAGTCGTTCCAGACCATCGACGTGCTCGTCAACAGCAACAATGGGGCCATCGTCCACCAGCCCGGTGAGTACTAAGACTGGACAGAGGGATTCATCCATCCATCCATCCATCCATCCAATATATCAGCTCGGAGGCGTCGACGTCCTGTCGGTGGTAAGGCTGAAGGCGAGGCTGACGAGGGCGAGCGGGCGAGGTCTGACCCTAAGCACGGCGTGAAGCGGTGAGTGACTGCATTCACTGGTCAAGCGACGCGCTACGCTCACACAAAAGGGGTGGGTGCATTGCCTGCCTGCGTGTGTGTGTGTGTGCAGTATCCGTGAGATCTTGCACTACGGCTCACTGCAGATGGAGAAGCAGCGTGAAGGCGGCGTCATCGTCAACCTCTTCACGCACTTCGAGTACATGCCCACACCTACACCCACACCCACACCTACACCCGCACTTGACCACCCCCAGGCAGGCGAGCCGGCGGCGCCGCCTGACGAAGATCACGATATGGGCGAGGAGCTGCTCGCAGGGGCCAAGGAGGAGCTGTCTATGCTGACCCGACAGGCGGCCGACGAGCTGGCGCCCAAAGGTCAGCCTGTCACCAGAGCGAGGCGAGCGAGCGAGCGACCATCCTTCTCTCTCCCATCGTTTCTGTCTGTGCTGTGTCTGTCTGTTTTCTGCCTGCAGGCATCCGTGTGGTCGGCGTGTGTGTCACCGGCCGCATCCCCCCTCCCCTCACCGCCCCCGCCCCCGCCCCCGTTCCTCCCCCAGGCAGCCCTGACTACTTCCCCGGCGAGGCCGAGACACACACTCCCGTGGCGCCACCCACACCTAACGCCATTCCCATGGCGGCAGCGGCGGCCGCCACACCATCACCATCTCCAACACCGCCAACAGCAACAGCAGCCGTCGGACCATCGTCGACGCGATATCGATGGCAGCAGAGAGAAGGGCGACTGAGCGACATTCAGGAGGAGGGCGAGAGTATGAGCGCCCGGGGCGAAGGTGACCACGAGGGTGCAGGTGCAGGACAGGGAGACGTGGAGGGTGGGGATGAGGGAGAGGGGGAGGGGGAGGAGACGCCTTTGCCTTTCCACCAGCTGGAGCGGCTCGTCGAGCTGGGGGGAGTCGTACACGCCTGCAAGTTTTTGGTACGCTGAGGGCAATGGTGTTGGTGTTGGTGTTGCGATGCTGTGTGGCTCAATGGAGCATCTGTTGTCGGTGTTTTGTGTTTTGTGTTGGTTGTCTCTGCAGGTTGGCAAGAGCTGCAGTGGCGTGACGGGTGTGACGCTGCCGATCGACCTGGACATCGCACGGCAGCTGACGGCCAAGGGGAGGAGAGAGAGAGGAGGGCGAAAAAGTGCTCTCCTCTCGACATGACATGAACATACCTCGACCTACCTAGCGATATGCGATATCAGATAGACTGCTGCAGCTCAGCCCAGCCCAGCTCGCCCTGGAGGGTGCAGGGTGGGTAGCGGATGTGTGAGCTGGGTTGTATTGTATATGGGGTCATTCGTTGGTTGGCTGGTTGGACGGTTGGTGGGTTCATTCGATAATGATGTGAGTCTTTTTTCTTTTTTGTCTCCCTCCTGTTATGTATGCCCCGTCATGTGTGTGTATGCGCATCAGCATTCCTTAGTGTCCCTCCCTCCCTCTCCCTCTCCCTCTCTGCGCCTGCTGGTCTGCCCTCTGTCTGTGCGGGTGTGTTCATACCAACGGATGGATGGATAGATGGCTCGATTGACCAAGACCACCATTTTTATGATGGCTGGCTGGCTGGCTGGCGGCTGGGTCAGCCGGACGGAAAGACGAATGAGGAGGGTATCGGTATCGTATGTATGCTGCAATGATCGTAGATAGATTAGACATCATCATTGGATGAGACCTGACGAGACCTGACGGACGGATTGGATTGCTGATATGTGGGCGGGGGGGGACGATTGATTCTTGGGCTTGTATATGGGCGGTAGGCAGGCCGGGCGAAGAGGGGAGGGGGGGAGCTGTGGGCGGGGCTGTCTTTTTGTTTGTTTGTTTGTTTGTTTCTTTGTTTCTTTACGGGGTGGGGGAAGAATGCTCCAATTGAATGTGACTTGCTGGCTGGCTGGCTGGCCGGCTTGTTGGCCGGGCCCTTGGTGTGTGGTGTGACTCCGAGTGGCTTTGGGTGGGTGTGCCATTCCTCGGTGCCTGCTTCATTCCTCCTGTCTGTCACATCACATGAGTCGAGTCAGCAAGGATCAGCCAGGCCGCGGGCGGTCTCGACACACAGAACACCGGACGGATAGGCGCAGCACACACGCGTCTGCTTGTCAGGGCAGCCTCAGGGACCTCTTTGTGTGTGCGTGTGGGCTGGGTGTTTGTATGGGGGTGTGGGTGGGGTGCGACGGTACAGCTCACACAGCGAAGGGGGGGGGGGGGG